TAACTTGTGGATGGAGGCAACAAACTGTTTTCCTATTGTTTTGTGTGTGCAATGGTCACGTGGGTAGTTCACATGCCTACGTCGCAGCGGAGAAGGGCACATTTTTCGGCTTGTACTTCCTCGCCATGACTTATCATAATGTTAAGTCATGGTTTAGGGAAGTAGGATGTGTAAACGAATGGAGAGAGGTCGATAACACTGCTCTATACACCTTGTTCTTCTTTCTGACTACGTTGTCACCAACCTACGGTGGGTGAGTGAGGGGATGACCCAGTGTCTTCTACTTCGGCCTGGCGGTTTATTGTATTGCTTGATGATTGATTACTTAATGCAACCAACCAACTTGTTCCTCTGTTTGACTTGCCAACAATGGTCACATGCCTAATTCATGTAGTTTGGGTGCCCGTATCGCAGAAGAGCAGAATGTCACATATTCCCGCGTCGGCGAAATGACATGTTGCTACCGACGATGGCATTTGAAGTTCTCCTCGAGGGGAAGCAGTCTGAGGGACAGGAGACCCTAGACGTGCTGCGATCTCCATCGACGGAATCCACAACGAACCACCATGAATGGGCGGAAGCTGGACCAGGGGCCACTGGAGGTCCTGACGAGCTTTGCTCGAATGCCACCTGCGTTAGAAGGTGGGGGAAAGTGCAGGCAGAGAGGTTTCGCGGTGGATTCTACTGGGTCCTGCTCTCTATGCTCGTTCCTGCTCTGATTATTTCAGTGTTGCGGGAAGTTTGCAGAACCTCCCAATCGGCCTCCATCGGCAAGGCCCCAGGAACTTGGATTCGCAGGCTGTCGAGCAGCGAGGGAAGCACTGAAGAAGACGACACTTTATCCCAGCTAATAGAAGTGTGTGCAGAAATGCAGGAGGACCTCGCGCTATCCGTTCCCCAACGCACCAACCCAGATGGTCCGATGGACGCCGCTGAGCAGGTGGCAAGGATAGCCTTCGACTTGGAGCTGGAAGCTCTGGCGTTTGAGCGCGCGATGCGACGAACTCAACAACAAGGCCGTGCAAGCATACCTTCCCAGCCGCGACACCCTGCAAGTGCGGATATCAGTTGTCAACGCACGCGTCAGGCGGAACCAGTCCACATGCCAGGCCCACAACTTGGTACCCCAAGCAACCTTCATTTACAGTCCGGTATCACAGCTTCAGATACTCAGCCTGCAGGTCTCCCTTCTGACCCTATGGCTGCGCCCACAGGACCTCTTGGCGAAGATTCTCAACCTCTCCCTTCCGTCCCCCCGCCTTTGGGGGATCCCACACCTTTCGATTGGCCACCGCAGGTTGCCTTGCCGATTTTACAGTCCGATTCAGCAGCCCTCCAGGCTTTTGCGGGTACCCAACCTCCTGTTGTTGCCTCAAATTCGGTTGGTTTGCCTCATCAGGTTGCAACGTTGCTGGCGCAGGATGTTGCACATATTAATACGAGGGGGCAACCCCTCAGCCAGCTGCCAAGTGTTGAGCATTCAGGATCTGATCCTGACATGTGGCTTGAGGAGGGTCCCGCTACTGAAAGTGCATTAGAAGCTCCCAAACAGAGTTCACATAGTTCTCACTGGATGTCACCAGACCCAGCAGCACATGCCTCATGGCAGGTCCCTGAAGGAGAGTCAAACACAGGAGCTGCAGGTCTGAGATCCCCAGCAGAGTCAACAGGGAGCGCACGCAGGGACTCCGCAAGACTACAGCCCGAAGCTGTTGCAGAGGAGGCACCCGCAACAGCAAGAGCGCTAGCAGCGGCAAGGGCTAGTCTACAGGCCGACCTAGATGCCCATCCGTATGTCCGGCTTCCTGGTTTAGCAAGGGGAGTGGTAGTTCCGAACATTCTACTGTCACGTACGAGTTTTGTGTCCACAAAGGGTCAGCCACTGCGCGATGCCTTGTTTCCTCTTCGCCATCTGTTCTCGAGGCTGGAGCTGAGCCAGACGGAAGTTAATTTTCTAGTGGGGCATATCGAGGAATTGGCGATTGCGTCGGGCGGGCGGGCGAAGCAAGCTACACTGATGGGCCGCCCTGGTCATGGCATTGCGACCCTCGGGCAGCAGTTTCTGGTGTTAGATGCCATTGTGTCATCACTTCAAGTCCTAGGGATCTCGCCGCATTCTTTAAGTTGGTGGGGAAGCTTCGTCGGCTGCTTTGATACAAGCTATCGGTTTGCTGAACCATCAAGTCGCAGCCAAGAGAGGAGCAGGGTTGTCGGCGACTTTGCTAATCGTCTTCTGGATGCCATTTCCACGTTCAAAAGAGGAGGGCGGCCGAAATCCCAGGATATTATCTTTCTGAAACGGTTTCTTTTTTTCTCTCCCCATGCGCCGGCGCGCTACGCGAATCCTTCGTGGGACCAGTGGAGGTATGACCATCTACAGTTTGAAGAACGTCATCCTGCAGCATGTAAATTGTTGCGGGCTGAGTGGCCTTCGTATTAAAAGCAACTTACATTCTGCAGTGGTAAAGGCAGCAACGCGGGAGCCCTTGCATCTGACTCGAGATGTTCGTGCAAATAGAGATTCAACGGCCCCTTGGCTAGAGGGCGAACAAGATCCTCGATGGCATACGCCGGGAGTGCGAACATTTAAGTTGAATACCAGAGGGCTCTTCAGGCCAAGTTGCAAGGAAGTGACTTTGCCTTTTCTCTGGCGCTATGAAGGTGCTCTCCGTCCATCCCTCAGGGCCTCAACTAATGTGTTTCTGTTGGTGTTTTTCTCCGCCGCACAGGTTTTGTTGTCGTTTACTCGTATCTGGCGACCTTCGTACGTCATGCAACTTTGGCTGCTTTGCTTCTTGTAGATAGCACTGCAGCTTCAGTGATACCCACGGCAGTGTCTGGGGAAGCCACTCGGCCACTATTCTCAGCACGTCACACATCGAAGTACCGATTTATAGAGGAACAGCACTTAGCCGTGCACTTGAGTGTGTGTCGGTCCTCCCATCGGTGGATAAGGGCACGCATTCGAAGCACGAGGAACAGCTTTCATATTCAAACGGGATAACATTTGGGGGCAGGTATATCATGATATGCCTGCCCCCAAGTGTTGAATGCATGAGTTGTCAATGCAACCGGCATCACAAGATGTGCACGAACCTGGGGGTCAAATTCCATCCAACCAAGTGAACTGCCAAGGCACCTTGTGGGCGGGTTCCGTTATTCATTTTTAGCTTTGTAGGATGTGCTCAATTCGATGTAGTCGCGCCGTTCGTCTGGGCGGGTGGCGACAGTATGCATACAATGATGTGTAGCCCAGTCCACAAGAGATTGGCGCCTAGTGGGAAACATTACTGTTTTTGGGCAACTGAATTACGCAGAAGTAGCCATATGCAAGAGGCTAATGACGACCTAGAGGGGGAGGAGACTTGCACCGGTTATGGAGCGACTGCGGTGCCATTAGCCCACAGCACCTTAATATCGTGGCAGGTGTGTCTTTGGTAGTCCCTTCGAGATTTTGCACAGGCATGGAAAGCCAGGGGTTGCAGTGCATGACAATCCCGGGCTCCTGGTGATCGGTACAGTTAGAACTAGGTCGAGACAGTTGACCCTCGTCGCATTCAAGTTTAAGTTCCACTTTTAGGTTCGGTGAGTTTTACTTCATCGTTTGTGTGAGGATGGCATGATCAGGCTATGCTGTACACATTTGCTGCTTTCGACCATGTAAAGAAAGAGTACAAGCTGTGTAGGAACTGTTGCTGCAAAACGAAGGAGACAACCTGTCCCAAACCACACAGATTGGCCGAACATCATCGGCACAGCCAAAACACAGTATGAATACAGTATGTTAATTCTTATTTACTGCGTTGGCCCTTCCCGAGAAGTGGCGAATATGCTGATTATGTTTTTGCCCACCGCCCGGGAACCGTGCACCCTTCCGGAACAGATGATACCTTCGAACAAAAACCTGAAATCCTATCTGAAATAGCATCAGTGGGTTGATTTGTAGAAAAAGAAATTTGTGTAAACATAAGAGGAGAAATCAGCCGCACTACTACTCACATCCATCTCTCTCCCACACCGTTGGTGTTTATATCCCGTGTACCGTCGGCGTACCGGCGAGGGAATTCAGTTCTGTTCTTGTTCGTGCTACAGCACCTCGTGATTTAAGTCCGCACTTCATGTTTTTTGTTGGTTACTAACTTGTGGATGGAGGCAACAAACTGTTTTCCTATTGTTTTGTGTGTGCAATGGTCACGTGGGTAGTTCACATGCCTACGTCGCAGCGGAGAAGGGCACATTTTTCGGCTTGTACTTCCTCGCCATGACTTATCATAATGTTAAGTCATGGTTTAGGGAAGTAGGATGTGTAAACGAATGGAGAGAGGTCGATAACACTGCTCTATACACCTTGTTCTTCTTTCTGACTACGTTGTCACCAACCTACGGTGGGTGAGTGAGGGGATGACCCAGTGTCTTCTACTTCGGCCTGGCGGTTTATTGTATTGCTTGATGATTGATTACTTAATGCAACCAACCAACTTGTTCCTCTGTTTGACTTGCCAACAATGGTCACATGCCTAATTCATGTAATTTGGGTGCCCGTATCGCAGAAGAGCAGAATGTCACATATTCCCGCGTCGGCGAAATGACATGTTGCTACCGACGATGGCATTTGAAGTTCTCCA